CAGCAAGTATTTGTCCATAACCAGCATACGCGCTTAATTGATTTGGGCGAATATTATATAGCAGTCTACTAAACTTTATCATTTCAAACTCGTCAAAACTAACTTATATAAAAAAATCACAAAACAGATCAATTTAGTTACTATAGTTTATGTATTATGAAAGTATTACGAACTGTGTGTTGAGTATTGAATATAGTAAAGTGCGGCGTGCTCACTGCTTTCGCTTATAGCACTGCGTTTCAATAGGTAAGGCTTAATTTAGTCTATCAAGATTTATTTGAGCTCTGAGGCTCTTCTTCAAATGCAACATGCTACCACGGCATCCAACAGGGAAGTTTTTATTGTATAGTACCAATATTTTGAAACTAGAGACCCTCCACCAAAACCCAAGTTGTTCAATTGAAAATGGTAGTAGAAGACAATATTCGCTTTAATCTAACTCACGTGATTTCGACATTATTTTAAATTTAACTCATTCACAAAATGGGTAGAAATAAGCAAAACATTACAGTTTTAATGGTCTACTATGTCCTCTAGCGAGTTTCTAGAAACATTACAGGTTGTCGGCATATTATTTAACTAATTGCCCCTCTTTTAATACCTTTTATAATCTTAGAATTTTTAAAGCATTTGTAGTTGTAATAGGATACATTGGCGTGAAATGTTAAACTATCTTTTTAAAGATTATTAATAATGATACCACATAAGTAATTATTTTCCCTTTCTTCGAGCTCTTCGTAAACCTACTTTAGATTCTTCTTTGTTATCATCTGATTAAATAAATTTAAGGTATTTCGTGTACAAAAAATTCGGACGTTCTAAGGTATTTCGTGTACAAATTTCCTTTACAATAAAGTGTTAGGTACAGCTGTCATTAGTTGTTTGAGATCTTACTATTTGACTGCTCTCATATGTAGAAAAAGTAAAATCAGTTCTTTCCATGGTTGTCAAGGTTTTGATATGCGTCAGTTTTTGATTGTTTTAACCATTTATAAAGCCGTTCTTGCTAATAAGGTATAAATGGTGTAAATATTATCATTTATATTTAAAATAGTGCATTGTAGGTGTGTTAAAAGTTTAAAATA